GATTGGATGATATCAAGGACGTATTGATAATTGTGTTAGGTATAATGACACAATGGGCACTTCAAAGAAAAGTTTTTAGTAGCCAGAAAACATAATAAAATAATTTATGTGCAGAAGAACACACCTCAGGTTCACTGTAAAGATTTTCAGAAAATAGCCGGGCGTGGCGGTGCACACTTGTCATCAACTCAGCACTCGGGAGGCTGAGGCAGGAGGACTGCTGCAAGCTCAAGGTCAGCATAGTGAGAACCTGTCTCGAAAAAACAAAAAAAAAAAAAGAAAGAAAAGAAAAGATTTTCAGAAAAGAAAGGCATTGTAGGTCGTTGAAATGAGCAAAATGCAGAGATTGAAGCAGGCTATGGCTGCACAGGGCGATTCTGGCACTCTGTGCTTTTGTGTACATTCGAAGTATCCTGTAATAAAATGTTAAAAATCACTGTTTAAGAAAGCGTTGGGCAAGGGGCCCGGGATGTAGCTCAGTGGCGCCATGCCTGCCTGGCAAGTACAAGGTCCTGAGTTTGATCCCCGGTACCGGGGAAAAAAAGCGCTTGTCAGGGCATTCCCGCCATGGCTGTGTATTTCTGCTCCTGCGGCCTGATCAGCACACTTAGCCGTGTGAGAGCACCAGGCTCCCCGTGTCTCTTCCCCAGGCACGGTGCAGACGCCTGTGGCCTGTGTGCGGTGACAGGGTCCCTCAGGAAATCTGAGCCCATCAAGTCACAGACATGGAACACCAGCAGGGTTTGACCTCAGTCATACCTCACACAGTTGCTTAGAGGAGAGAGAAGTCACAGGGCTGGGAACATTTCAAAGAGCGTCTCATCCCAACCACAGACCAACCTGTGTACAGCAAGGAGCGCTCTCAGGCCCCAGCCGGCCTGAAGTGAAACAAAGGGTTGCATGAATAATTCTTCAGAGCCACACAGGGCTCTGCTGTGGCCCGCCCCGACTGAAGGGAGTAACACAAAGATAAAGTGACAGGGTTCCCAGGCCACGTGAGACAGGAGGTGCTGGCCAGGTGGCCAGCAGAGGAGCCACCTCCCTCCCTGGGCTCTGCCGGGGACACGGCTCCCCAAAGTGACCAGAACTGTGGTGGCCAGGAGGGTGAGTTGGGCCCCTGTCTGCTCGTGGGCTGGGCCCAGGCTGCCCCATTAGAAATGGGGGCTTCATCTTGTGCACGAGACAGAGCAGTGCTATACAGTAAGGCAGGCCCTTGCCTTTATGATTTTTCCACAAAATGTTTTGCTCCAGAAGCTCTTGCCCAATGTATCAACATGTTTTGTGACCTCTCAGGAATGTGTTTTGTTAAACCTGCCCCTCTGCCTCTGTGAGCATGCTCAGCAGCTGCTAGGCCTTTTGGGAATGTTCCATGACTCCGACCCCCTGCTTCAGTGAGCATGCTTACCTACTCCGAGATCCAGTATAAGGAGGCTCCCTTTTCTGGACAAGAGCTCAGACTCTGGTGTATGAACTCCACTGAGCTGGTTGGCATACTAAAAGGTTTTTCTCCATCTCTTCGGGTGACCTTAGAATTCTCCAGTCTTCAAATTGCAGTAGCTGTGACACTGAGCTGTAACACTCGGCTGTGCCTCAGCTCTGCCACTGTTCCGCTTTCCCACAGAGCTGGTGCTACAGCCCAGAACCCGGCCCTGTGCCCTCCAAGTGCATCCCCTGTGACTTCGACAAACCTCCTTCCAGAAACCCCCATCGTGACCCTGGGTGCAGTAGGCAGACGGCTGCTCTGGTGATCACCAGGCGCAGCAGCTTCCCTAGGGAGGGTGCGGGTTTGAAGTCGCAGAGGACAGAGACACAGCAGTGGCCAGGCAGGACACGGGTGACCGGCTCTCAGGGGCAGCCTCCTCGGAGGGGTGACAGCAGGGACCAGGAGCCAGGGTCGGACAGGGCAATGGCGGGGCTCTGGTCACCGTGCCCAGTCCACATCTGCCCTGGAGGGACTGCAGGCCAACATGCAACCTCTGTGTCTCTGCCCCTCGGAGAAGTGGGGGTCCCAAGGCTCCCGGCTCCCAAGGTGCCTCCAGTTTTTATGTCCACAAGAGGAACTGAGTCTAGGGAGCAGCAAGGAAAGGGTGGGCTGGTCTTTTATTTATTTATGGGATTTCATTATGTTGCACATTGGAATATTACTCAACTATGAAGAGGAAGGAAGCATTGGCAGTGTGGGTGAGAGACCAGACCTACAGATCAAGTATTATTGGATGGGTCTCCTTGGAAATGCCTGTGTCACAAGGGCAGAAAGACGTGCCAGGGTGGGCTGAGAAGCGTGAGCAAAGAGGAGCCAGGGCTGAGGCCCCTGCAAGAGCAACCTCAGGCAAGTGCTCGCCTTGGGCCTCATGAGCTCTGCTTGTCTGCCCCGTGCCCATCAGTGATGGATTACAAGGACTCTGCCCTGCCAGAACCAGGCCCTGGGACAGTTCATTTATTCATTCAATACTTACTGGGCACTCTAATGCTTAATTTTGTTGGCTGGGCCACAGGGCCTAGACATTAGAACATTATCCAGGATGTTTATGAGGGTGTCGTGGGCTTACACAGGCAGACTCTGAGTGAAGCACTCTGCCCTCCCCAGTGGAGCGGGCCTCGCCCAATAGTTGAAGACCTGACCTGCCCTCCCGTAGCTCCAGCTGTGCCTGCCAGCAACAGGAGCATCACTCTCCTGGGTCGCAAGTGTCAGCCCACCCTGCAGACTGCAGACTTGGCCTCCTTCATCACCTGAGCCAGTTCCTTGCATTTCTCTCTCACCCCGCACAGAGCCGCACCCTCGGCTCTGTTCCTCAGGAGAACCCCGAGCACTGCGGTGCCTGCTGTCCCGATGTGCTGAGCCCCTAGGACCTCAGTCTGGGCCGTGGAGGGGAGTAACCACACTGGCCCATCAGGCTGGTGCTGCATCCAAGCAGGAGACCAAGACCACCCAGGACTGCAGGCTCCTCCCCAGCTGCCATGCAGCCAGACCCAGGGGCAGCATCTCTGGGCTTCACTCTCATCTGGGAAGGGCCTCGATGACAGTTTCACCTGGGGAATGCTGGACCCCAGGGAAGACCCATGAGGCCAAACGCCCCGGCCGGATGGGCATCCGCAGTTGGGAGGGGCCTCCTCATCAGAGGCGGGCAGCAGGTCTGAAGATGAAGGCTCTGGGCTCTGTCCAGAGCCCTCCGTTTCTGCTCTGCAGGGCGGGGGAGCTGGGATCCTTGAGGGGGAAACGCATCTCCTGGGCCCGGCAGCACAAAGGGGTGGGCCGCTCAGCCTGGGCCCAGGAGCACCAATGCCCACTTCGCCTGCACATGGGGCTGTGTCTGCTCCTAACCAGCAGCTGCAGGCCCCTGGCCCCACGCTGATCCGGGGTGTTGGGCTGGGCTGAGCTCCAGGCCTGGACCAGGGCTGCTGGGTAAGGAGCCATCTTGTTCCTCTCAGACTGACCCCCCTGGGCTGCCATCTGCCTTCTCACCTGTCCGTGGGCCTGGCATTCTCTCCTGCCGGGAAGCAACAGCCCCGAGGCCTCGAGCCCTTCCTGTGAGTTGTGACTGCATCAGTCCCACAGGGGGCTCAGAGCCACCCAGGCCAGCCATGTGACAGTTCTGAGCGGGCGGGTCAGGGGCGAGCCTGGGCTGCACATGTGTGAGGCAGTCACAGAGCCCAGGGCACAGAATTCAAATGGTGCCTGGGCGCCCACTGCGGCCCCTGCTCCCCTCTCTCCCTCCAGAGCTGCAGTCCCCTCCGGGCCACCAAGGTGCAGCTGGAGAGAGCAGGTGGATATGCAATCAGGCAAATCTAGAACGTTTTAATTACAGTTCTATGAGTAAAGCCATGCTACAGATGGGAAACAAGGGACAGAGAGGTTAGGGAAGCCCCTCAAGGTCACTCTGCCGGGACACTGGGCTCCAGGATCTGACCTGGTTGTTGGCCCTGCAGAGAGCCACGGCCTCTGGCGCACCCCTCGGAGCCCACGCCCTCCACGGACGTCACCAAGGGCCAAGGCTGCTCCAGGACTTAAAGAAGAGAGGTGGCCTGGCAGCAGTCTCTCTGAAGTGGGCCTCTGGGGCTATCAGCACAACAGCCTTGGCGGTCCTACCGGCGGCACAAGGCAAGGGCCTCCCTGCGCTGTCTCCGGTGGCGACACCGAGGAGCCTGCCCCAGCGAGGCAGCACTGTGTCCTCCTCCTCCTGACTTCTCCTGGCACCCCTGGGGCAGCTGGTCCAGCCCACAGCCTGGGCTCTACTCACCCGGCCCCACTAGGTCGTAAACTTCTAGCGTTAGTGTGCAATGTCTTGCGATATTTTTTTTTTTTTTGGTACCATTTTTTTTTTTTTTTTTTTTTGGCATTTGTGGGGCAGGCACCCGCAACACTGAGCTAAATCTCCGGCCCTAGAGCGACATTCTTGGTGACTGGTTGTGCTGCGCTGGAGCGTGGACTGCAGGCCGCCTAAGGGACAATGGAGGCCCGTGGAGGGAGGATGTGGTCCAGGGCTCACCTCTGCCTCCTGTGACCGACACCGAAGCCAGGGGAATCGACATCCCCGTGGATCTGTCGCTGCACACGTTTGTGTAATTTGGAGAGAGAAACTCGCGAAGACCAATAACCGTATCTCAACCTCCTTACACGTGTGTGAAGACAGGCGTTTACTGTTATTAAGCGGCATGCAAGCTCTCTTTTTTGTGAAACTGGGCTTCTCGTGTTATTTAGTGAAATAATTTAAAATAAGTTGAAACACAAAAACAAAGGAAGTTTTGTTACTTAGATACACCCGCAGGAGCCCTGGGGGGGCAGAGCGGCTTCTCCGCCACCAGCCACAGGTTCAGTGTGAGAGCCGGGGCTCAGAGAGACCCAGGTCCGAGCCCCAGATCCACTGTCCACAAGTCGGGGACCTTGGGTCCCCTAAACCAAGCAGGGACGGCGCAGCACCACCAGGAGGCTGCAGGGAGGTGGTGCTGCGGGGGACAAACCCGGTCACGTGACTCAGGCGGGCTTTGCCCGGTCACGTGACCCGGGCTAGTTCTCTAGGAGCCCGGCCAGGCCCACGTGTTTTCTTCTTCCCCGGGGAAAGCCCAGCGCCAGCAGGAATCAGGTGGGGACTGCGCGGGCAGGGACTCCGCGTCCGCCTGGGCGAGGGGGGCATTTAAAACTCTCAAGCTGCGCGGCCACGGGTCCCCTCCTGGAAGAGACAGCAGGCCAGGCCTGAGCTGGACAGCTGCAGAGGCACGAGGCTGCTCCCGCCCCCGCCCAATCGCCTCCGGCGGCCCCGGCCAGCAGCTGCCCTGAGTCCGGCGCGCGGGGCCAGTGCAGCGGCCGGCCGGGAGGTGGCGACATCACCCGCTGCGCGCACCCACGGCCTGCTGGGGAGGACCACCGCCCCCTTGCGCCCGGCCGGCGCTGGCCCCCTGCCCAGCCACTCCCGCATCCTGCGCGGGGGCAGCGGGGCGTCCAGGCCAGGTCCCTCCGCCACAGGCTGGGGCAGAGATCCGGGACCAGACAGGAGCGACCTTCTGAGCCGTGGCCCCCGGACCCACCCAGGCTGAGGGTCCCGGCCGTCACGTGGCCTCTCGCTGTCTTTTCCCTAGGTCGGGCCCCATGGGAGCACCGTGTCCGGAGCTCCTGCAGGGAATGAACACCAGGAGCCCCTCCGGCCCTCAGTTTCCCCACTGTGAGCTCTGAGGGCTGGGCTCCACCCCTGATCTGACCTCACCTGGCGTCGGCCCCCAGCCTGTTTAAAAGCTCGTGCGGGTCAGGTTTGTGCCCGGGCTGTGGAGGGCAGCACGGCGTGGCACCAGCACTGTCCACTCTCCGGCACCGGCTGTTTGCTCTGCGCTTCTCTGCGGTTTTATTTTTTATTATTATTTGCGCTTGTAAATTTAACTGTCTTCACTTGCTTTTCTGGCACGTCAAACTGCGCCGCCGAACATCCGGGGAGCTGGGATTCTTCACGTTGTCAAGCATCCATCCGCTGGATTTCATAACCCTACTGAACGATGCTTTTCCTTGAAGTGTTATTTATTTATTAATTGTGAAATAACTATTTTTCTCAGTGTGACAGAAACATATGCTCATTGCAAAATATTCAGAAAATAAGCTCAAGGACCCGAGTTCTATCCCCAGCACCAAAAAAAAAAAAAAAAGCACAAGGGAAAATATTCAGAAAATAAAAAGTATGATAAGAGATCGAGAAACAAAAGAGTCCCCGTGACCTAGCCACCCCGGCTGTCACGCCTGCCACACAGTGGCTGCTTTGAAAGCTCACCATCAGCGTGTCCACTTATTTACAGGCTTCAGGGCCTGCACCCACCTCTGTTAGATATTTTTCGCCACTCACACGTGGTCACATTATGTGAGTGTGCTTTCTAATTTCAACATAGCTTTACAAGCCCACTGAGCCAGGGAGAGCCTGTAATCCCAGCTCATGGGAGGCTGAGGCAGGAGGATCTCCAAGAATTCAAGGCCAGCCTGGGCTACAGAGCCAGACCTTGTCTCAAAAAAGGAAAAAAAAACAATAAAAAATTTTTTAAAAACCCAACCTTCCAAGTTGAGATGGGATTGAGTGACAAAATACTAACAAGAACAACTACTTCTGGGTGTCAATGTGTAACGGTCCCTGCCGGTCTCCCGGGAGCCTCAGCCAAGCCCCCGGGGGCTGCTCACAGCCCCAGCGATGTCCTCCTCCTCATGCTCAAGGCCAAGGCCAAGGTGCGGGCGGGTTCCGTGTGTGGAGAGGACCCGCCTTCTGCCCTCAGATGCAGCTCCTCCTTGTGTCCACCCCTGGAGGAAGAGGCAGGGCGCTCTCCGGGGCTCCTTTTCTAAGGGCACTGACCCCACCCCGAGGGCCCACGGTCATGACTGTCACCTCCCAGGGTTCCCGCTTCTAACCCCAGCCCTTGGGGTCAGGGTTTCAACCCAGCACTGGGCAGGCACACATCGGCCCCAGCATCACAGGCCCCCGGGGTTCGCAGAGCCCTCCCTGTTAGGAGAGCAGCACGTGGGTCCCACGGGAACATGCAACCTGGAGAAAAGCAGCCCACATCTGAGCCACGTCTCCCCGCCTCCTCCTGTGAATGGAACCTGCGTTCTCCGCCATGGCTGGCACTCGGGACAGGCAGGGGCAGACGGGGACACAGACGGGCCTGGGTGCCGGTCCTCTGCCTGCCCACTTGCTCCTGCTGGCGACCGGGATCTGTCGCCTGTCCTTCCGCCCAGGATGCAGGCACTTCCAACACACACATGGCACATTCATCTGTCCCCCACACTCCTGCAGAGCAACCCCTGCTGTCCAGTGCCCAGGCTTGACCAGAACACCGCACGGGAGCTTTAAGTGCCCTCCGCATGTGACCTTATACATGCTGATTCCCCCTTCTTCCCTTGTGGGCAATCTCCACCACCTGCAGAAGTGCTTGGCCACAGCCAGAGGCACACCTGGCCCGACACACACGACACCAGCACTTCCCGATTGTTTTGAGAAGCATTCAGTGCACATAGCAGTTATCGGGCATACACTGAGTGCCTACTGCATGCAGCATGCTGGATAGCAGGGTCTGGTTTCATGCCCGGAAGAGCAGTTTCAGAGCGGGATTATTGTTGGCCCTTTTCACACAGGGAAAACCTGAGGCAAAGTCAGCAGTCGAGGCAGGATCCCAAGGCTGACCACCTGGCCCGGAGCCTGTCCTGTCTCGGGCACCTCGGGGTGGTGCATCCTCAGGCCACGCACGGACTGGGGAGGGAGGACGCATAGGGTCGGGCGGATGTGGAGTACAAGTGCGTCAGTCACTTCTCATCTCGGGGACACAGTGGCCGACTCCCACAGTTTCAGGGAGGAGGGGTTTATTCTGGCTCTCAGTCCATAGAAGTTTCAGTCCGTAGTCCCCTGGCTCCAAGGCAGGGTGACCTGGCAGAGGGGCCTGGCGGAGGAGGCTGCTCAGGGAATGGCGCACAGGAAGCAGAGAGAGGAAGGAGGAGCTGGGAGGGAGATGGACGCTTCCCGGCCGCCACGCCAGGCTCCACCTCCCAAGACGACATTCAGCTCTAAGCTCATCAGTAGATTAATCCGCTGCTGAACGTCACACCCATGACGCCCCACCCATGAGCGCAGCAGCCTTTGGGGGACAGCCGGATACAACCCTGGCAAGCACTGCCTTGGAGGGCTGCACCCAGCCGAAGCAGCGGTGCTGAGTCAGTCCTGGCCACTCCTGGTGGCCCCAGGCTGCATTGGCTCACAGTCCCTGGGCTCCCTGCCTGTGTGCACTGAGCCCAGGGCTCTCTTCAAACAGCCGCCGCGGGGCACGGGACCCACACCCCTCCCGTGTGACCCCCTCCTGCCTGGTCACATCTACAGACGCCTTGCCTGCAGGGACCGGCCCAGTCCGCCTCGCTTGGGGCACCACACCCCCCCCACACTCACCATCAGAACCAGGCGATGGCGCCGAAGCGCCTCTGCGAGGCATTTCCCACCCACTCAGCCCTCCCAGGACCCTCTGGGATGGGGACGAGTGAGGTCCCACCTTGCAGTGGAGGACTGAAGGGCCAGTGTAGCTTGCCCAGGGCCACACAGCTTGAGTATGGGGGACCCGCGTGGACCAGGTATGCCCACCCCGCTCCATCCCCTTCCCCTCCAAGCCGCAGGAGCTTGGGATGGAGGCCCTGCTGTTTCTGGTCACTGTGCTCCCAACTCCAAGCACAGAAGGGCCCCACAGGCACTACAGAACGATTCCCTGGTGTACAAGGCGAAGGAGAAGCCCAGCCTCAGTTTCCCCACCCCACAGGGTGGGTGGGGCCTGGCCCTTGCGATCCTGCGGCAGACTTCCAGACTACGCCACCTGCTGGACGGCGCAGGAAGTGCACAGACGCATGCCTTCTCCGGGGGCCCAGGGAGACCCGGTGGTTCCAGCGCCTGCTGGGGCCTCCGCTGTCCCCTGCCACTGGGGCAGCAAGCTTGGCACAGAGGCTGGGACCGCCTTTCCTCCTGTGTCTACGAGACCTGGCCTCCCTGGAAGGACGCCCTGATGCCCTGCGGCTGCAGGGAGGGCCCGGAGAGGGGCCTGGGCCTGGGGTGAACGCTCCTGTTGACTAGTGAAGGTACACTTTTCTTCGAGTTTTATCTCCTCCAGCTGACTTGTGTGTGCCTTTACCCGTCTTCCTTCTCGCTTGCTTGTCATTTATTTATAGGTTTTCTAAGTTCTTTGCGTTGTGCGGATGCTACCCTTTGTGGCTGTGTACGTCACAGGTTACCCCAGGTCTGGGCCTTGGGCTTTGCCTTGCTCCCAGGAAGGTTTGTGCAGAATGTTTGAGCTTTGATGTCAAAGCCATCCAGACTCCCTTCCACTCTGTGCCCTGGAGTCTTGTTAAATCTTTCCTGACCCAAAATCGTAAAGATGTATCCTCCAAGAAGCTTAATGCACTTGGCTCTGTGCAGCAAGAGGCCTCTTCACATGAGGAGCCAACCCACTGGCAGAGGCCAGGGTGCTGGCCGCAGGGCCCCTCCTGCCGCCACCCACCGCGGGCCTGGCCCCTCCTGCTCGTTGATGGGCTCAACAGTGCCTGGACTCGGGGTCCAGGCTCAGCTCCAGCCCACAGGGCAGGCAGCTGTGGTTTCAGAGCAGAACTGCTCCCAACACCCCAGGAGCCAGGCGGGAAGGGGAGGCCGGAGCTGACTCCACATCTGCTCACAGGTGAGCTTGGTGCTGTCCTTAGGCCACTGCAGACTGGGACACGATGCCCACCATCCATCTGCAGGGCACCCAGGCGGCCAAGGGCTCCTGTGTCTGCTGCGGAGTCGGACATTGCCGCTGCCCTCGGCCGCCTGCCCAGTGTGGACTCCCTCAAGTCACTTCCCGCAGGGCTGGTGTGTCCTTCAGGGGATGGTTGCATGCCCTGCGGTGTGAACTGCTCACCCCTCCCCTCAGCTCCAGCTGCCTGGTGCACACTCCGGCTGGCTCCTCGGTGTCGCTGTCCCCACACCTGTGAGTCGCCTATGTAAAAGTGTCATGGGTCTCCTTCCTCCTTCAGACCCCCGCCCCCATCACCCGGACAGAAGCCTCTCAAGAAGAGTGGGCCAGGTCCTGGCAGGTTCGTGTCCTAGCAGATACCCCAGACAGTTGTAATGTAATAATGTAATGTAATGTAATATCCCAGGCAGTAGCAATGGCTGCGGTGTGGGGATGGATGTCCTCCTCAGATGGGGTGTCCTCAAGATTTTCAGGGATGGCCAGCAGGCTGGGGCCCACCTAGAAAGTCCAGCTACTCCTGCTCCATCCTGAGGGCTAATGAAGGGGGGCAGGGCCGGCGGGCAGGTGCATCCAGGGCCTGACCGAGGTGTCCCCAAGCAATCCACCAAAGTTAAGGAAGGTGACCTCCTCCTGTCCCCACTGCCTGCTGGAAAGTTACATTCCGGTAGTGCAGCCAGCTGCCAGTAAGAGACAGCGCGTTCTCTGGGCAGGGCACCTCCTCCAGAGCCTGGCTCTTTCCAGGTGGGTGTCAGGGCCCTCCTGCCCTCTGAGCCAGGTTTCTTTTCTTTTTTTCTTTTTTAGTACCAGGGATTGAACTTGGGACCTTGCACTTAGGAGGCAGGCGGCGGAACCACTGAGCTAAATCCCCAGCCCTAGGTTTCTTGATCCAAAGGAGGCAGCAGCTGTCCCCAGCAGAGCCCTGGGGGTCACATGGGAAGTGCCTGTGACTCTCTGACGTAGCAAGCCTGCTGTCACTGGTCATTGGTAGCTGTCCCAGTGTGGTTGGGAGCCTTCGTGTGGCCACATGAGCCACAGCCACTGTGTCCTTGGCCCTTCCAGAAAGCAGTGTGTTGAGGTGGAGGCTGGGGTCCATCACTGACCTCCACTGCTGTGTTGGACAGGGGAGGCACAGAAGGTGGCCAGCTGGCCCGGGGTCACAGCCCACATAGTCCCAGAGAAGCCGGAACACTCTCTAACTGCTGTCACCTCAGGCAGTGACCGCGTGAGTGCACCTGTGAGGTCCCTCAGGTGACGGGCAGCTGGGCCTGGGCCGCGCCCTGTCCACACCCTGTTCCTGCACACCACGCCCCCTCAGCAGAGTGGTCCAGAGTGGCTCCGTCCGGCCTTGGAGCAGTAACGGCCATGTAGTGGGGGACCCCGACCTGAGGGTGGCCTGCCTTGGACAGCCAGTAGGGAGCCAGGCCCACAGGCCCACAATGCAGGAAAT